GCTATTACATTAATTTGTAGGCAATGATCTCTTGTGATGGCTTGAGCAGGTTTACCTCAAATGGGCCCTACTTTTTGAGGATGTGCAGTGATGGGCTGGCTCCTCATTGAAAATGATATTTTTGAACTTATCATTAAAACTTGTTACATGTTGCCTTGATTTGTACTGATTACTTTCATTGAGAAAATGAATTGTTGCATAAATGGAAAGTTAATTGCCAGGATGATTGCTCATATACTTCTTGCACTGAGAAATCACCTGTACAGACATCTTCTTTAAAAAAAAAAGATATTGAAGGCGGTTTGGTAAAATCTACTCAAATAATTAATGCTCTTCTTGCTCCAAACAGGCAATGTGTTCATAATTTTTAAAATTTTGATTGAGATATCAATCCCCCAAAAGAGTAGAAAAAGTTTTTTTGTTTGCAATTCAGTGTGCTTCTCTGCTTGTTGGTGGATGCCATGTGCTTTTTATGCACATATACCACCTAACGTACACTTGTGCATCACATGGTTAGAGGAGGGATTTATGTTCAATACGCTATTCCTTGTAGGTCTCTCTCTTCCACCATATACAGGTGTACATGTAGATAAAGTCATAAAGTTTCAGCTTGCTGAAAGCTAAGAGGATGATTAGAGCAACATGCCTGCTTTTCACACCAAGATTCTATTCTTAGAACGGCAGACCATTGTTCTTAGAATTATGGACGGTCATTGAGAGACTTTCCGGTAGCGGGACGTATGGAAGCACAGCAAGAAGTGAGGGCAGTTACCTCAAACTTTTCAAGAGGTGCTCCCCGTTGCGCGACCTCGTGATTCAGGGCCGAATATTCTCACGCGCCAACACTGTGTTCCAGCCCAGAGCCTTCACAAATGGTAGCTATCGCCTGGTACTTGTCTTACTGTTTACACATCTTTCAGTGGCGCAATCGCAGCACCCCCTCCAGTTAAACTTCTACCTGCCTAGGCTTGTGTATCAGCTTTCTTCCCCAATGTCCCATCAATCACCATAATATTGTAAAATTTCAGGACACTCTCTTGAGCCTAGCAGTCTTGAATCATGATATGATCTGTAGGGAATATATTTATGATTGCCTAAAAAATAAATAAAGCGAATATAATAGTACATGTTGATCTTTCAGGCAAAAAAATACTTTACATTTCGGGGGCTACTTTTCAAGCTTGCTTTCTTTAATTTGTTTTGCATTGAACTCTATGCATATTTTGGGGGCTCTTTTATTTGCCCCGAGCCCCCATGTATTTTTTCCCTGTGATCATTGATGTTTACTGTAGTCCCTGGCCAAGACCATTGCTTTGTAGGCCACATGTCTATGGTCTGTGAAGTCGAGGCTAGTCCGCTACCAGCTCAAGTTGGAATGCAGATCCCTCCAGGTACCACTCCTTGACCCCATGACCTTCACTTCCTGGAACCTAACTAGCCTTTGAGCTATCTACCACGACTTTCACATGCAGCAACAACGGCTCTACTACACTTTCTTATTATTATCATTTACAATGAATTGAGCACTATAGGCACATCTTTTTTGTATGAGAAATAGTAATAAAATCATGAAGGGGTATGACTGTTTTCATGTGTCTGGTTTAGGATGCTAGTGAAAGGGAGGTCTGGGGCAGATCAATATTTTATGAAAAGGAAAGTATCGCGGTTGGTTTGAGTTGACCAGGGATGAACTCTTGTCTTTCATGGAGGGGACTTACTGGCTCTGCTCTAAATCCGTTCTATTGTGGTTTAGGATCTTCAAGGATAGCTGCTTTTACACTGCAAGTAAAAGTCATTGATATAATTTCTCTTATTCTGGTTTTTTGTCAGAAGTTGCTAAGCAACTGATACAAGTACTGGTAAACACAACGAAAATACCATTAAAAACACCTCTGGAGTGTGGTTTTATTAAATGCTGGCAGAAATTTTACCGGTGTTTGCTGTGTGAATGCTCCCTCTCGAAATCATTGGGACCTATTCCGGTTTTTAGTCACGTGACTCTCCTTGCTTGTATGCTAACGCGTACGCACACCTCACCAAAAACAACCCAGAATTATCACACACTGATGCCTGGTTATTAATGAGTTTTTCCAGTGGTGTAAATGACATTAAAAAAAAACTTGATGGTTTTTCAAAATGTTTTTTTGGCTGTGTAAATAGGCCTAATGAGATTTGTTCCCCTTTTCATTGTCTCCTTTGTCATTCTTTCCGAGCTGAATTTACGTAAACTAAATCAATGTGTATTTTGTCTGTACTCTAATCTCTTTGTGGATGGGGTACATGTTTGTTATATAGACCTGTAGCCGTATGTTCTATTTTCTAGTTCTTTCAAAATTCTTTGCTGTGGGATGCATGTTGCTATGTCAGATGACAAGGGATGTATATGTGGAGCTGTGATAGGCTGGAATATTGTTGAATTTTAGCGTATTGTAATGCAGAGTCTGCCAGTCATTTCGGCAAAGCACATGTAGGTATTGATGTGATGTTCTGCCTGTTTGTGAAACTAATAATGTTGTTATCAAAACCAGCATCAACTTAACACCTGAAAGTACAGTAATTTATGAAAAAGTGACCAATTAGAGAGTGATAATTAATCGACCTCTAGGCCTACAATTGTATTTTGTGATCATAGTGATATGGGTTTACCCTGATATAGGTGTATATTTGTGGGTCTATAGGCCTATTATCTCTGGCACTGCGTCCCTGAAGATAGGGGCAAGTGGTACTTGACCCTCTTGCTCTTAAAGCCTAGGATAACTATAAATGATATTTATAGTAATCTGATATGGACCTTCAAGCTTGTGGAATGGAGGAACATGAACAAATAGGATTTGGATGTTTAATATCAAACATAATAAACTTATCATAACAACATTGTTGGATGTTGACTAAGGCTGTGAAGGGTAGTTGAATGCTCGAGTACCCGCATGGTTGACAACTACTCGGGTACGATTTCTCGTACCCGAATATTTTGGCCGCCAAATGTCCAGGTTTTAATGTCCAGGCCGACGCTTTCCCGTGCCTGGGTGAGCGGCAGCCGCTGGCATGGTGCCGTCGGTAAAAATGTTTCCCAACTCAAGCACTGTCAAACTCACCACTCAGAAACTGGGACCAAATGTCTGGATTTCTGCTTGGACTTGGAGGAAAATGGATTATTCTGCCATCTTTGGTTTTTAAAACAGCATTGTTCACTGTTATTATTATTATTAAATCGGCGCCTTCAACTGCAACTCAAAGTATAATTACATGCGTTTTCGGCGACAGAACTGGGATACTCCTCCAGTGGTATGTATGGTGGTGGCAAAAAAAAAAAAAATCCAAAAAAAAAAAAAAAAAATTCAAAAAAATTCAAAAAAAAAACATGGCGTCCGAATACTCGAGTATTCGCTTGTAAGCATGGGAGTGTACTCTGGTACCTCATTACACTGTTGTGCACAGCCTTAATGTTGACCTGTGCTCATGTTTAAAAGTTTTATGGCAATGTTTTAGATAATGATTGCAATGTTTATCAGAAAAATTGTATAATAAAATGAATGTGAATGTGTTTGCAATGGACTCCAAAGTTCAGTGATAAGTCTTTGCAATCATTATTGTATTCCTTTAAAATTCTTCTAATTTTAGTAAGTGCCGGAAACATAGCATGTTGATGGAGAGGGGTTAAGCTCTGAAAATATTTAATTTAATTTTTTGTTTAGGTGCTGGTAAATATTTCAGGTGTAGCTTCATGAGTGACATGAAGTTAATTGCTGAGGAAAGTTTGAATTGTCTGTAACCATGATGTTTTAACCTTACTGATTTGGCCATTTAGTATCAATATCAGTTTGAAAATATTTTTGCAGTCATATTTACAATGTAGATCAAGCAGCCCATTTGATACCAAGTTTTGTACTTTTCCAGGGCTCCACACTAACTAATTTTGAAAGGGGGTCTGGATCTAATTATTTTGAGTCCGTATGCACGAACCCTATGTTAAAAATGTGAAATTTTGGGGTCTAGACTCAAGACCTAGATTTTGGGTGCCCATGCCATCCCTGGGCGAGCCTTGACTCTTGTCTTACTATCTCAAAGAAATGTAAGGTTAGTGAGTACACAATCCTGTTTCTGCCTGCATATCGTGCATTCAAAAAGCATTACCTGTGTGGAAACAAACAATGAGGATGTGTTTCTGGAGTAATATGCTGCAATTTATACCATCATTTATTTGATTATGGCATTAAGTACCTATTATTTGATATCTTTATTTTTCTTCCCATCAAATATCTTGAACTTTGGCCTGCACTCTTGCACTATTATCTCGTCTGAATCGCTGCCAAGTTTCAGGTGATTTATCAATTATTGCGGAGAACTTTAGCATTGCCTTATTTGTATTGCAGGTTTGCAGCGTTTAATATCGACACAGGTGATATTATGATGAATGTGTTTATACTGTACTGTAGTTCTTATCCTATCTTAGATTTTATTGGGCGCGTTTATCGGGGCTTGCCACTAGATATGTACATATCGTACCCCACTATCGAACCTCACTGTACGATCGTGATTTGCGGGATGTCGCGTTTATCGACTCTTCACGATTCACAATAAAGGCCTTGTCTATTCGCAGCTGCTCAGCACTATTTCTCCGAACCGGAAACTAGCCTGGGAATTACTATTTGTATGTGAGGTTCAAAACAGCTTTGCGTTTATCGATCTCTCAGAAACGTGATTCTGGCTGTATGTCACATTCAAAACACACCTTTTTGCGTCTTTAGATATGCCCATATCTAAAGCCCTTTAAAAAAGGCTTTGCGTTTATCACCTTCTTAATTTGCCTGAAAGACGTTTGAGAAACCTGATTCTAGCCAAAAATTTGGTCGATAAACGCAACCATGGTCAGTTTAATATTGTCTGTTCGTTTAACATCTAGTTAATGCCAGAAGGGCATTTTATAGATAATATGCCTGTTGAAATGAAAACTTGCAACCATGAAATAATATTTATCTCCTTTTTATTCTTCCACGCAGCTCTTGTGAATTGGAGTTTATCACTCAAGTATTGGACTAGATTTATGTGAACTCTTTGGAAACTGGAAAGTGCGGACTGTTTTGGTTTTGAAAGTTTTTTTGACGGATGCCTTATTGAAAACGGACAAGGTAAGAGGCTCGTAGCATGTTCAGCCTAGTAGAAGTTATTATGAAACATCGTATAAAGAATTGTTGTATTGTGAAAGGGGCATACACACTGGATGAAAACATTGTTTGCAGAAATGTGTAAGGAAGCTAGTTTTGAAGAGGTCACTTGACACAACAGCTAGCCAATCATCAGTGTGTGCTCACGATAAGCCCCGCCTCTTTATATGTTTTTGTTGTTTTGATACAATGTTTATAAAATGAGAACTTGAGCCAGATTCCATATCGAGTTTCTGTTCAAGATGATGCTCAAATGTTGGTTTCGCTATACAACATTTCATTATTTGACGTTTCTTATTAGGTTTCTTATATGTACTTGTCATAGAGCTATACACTTAGCCAATGAATGAAATTTGGATTCTGAACTGGGGTTAGAATGTTTTAGAAAGAGAGGTACAGTATGTGATGGATGAATATTAGGCAGATGGTTGGTAATCCAATTTTCATGTATTTGCCCCATACTTTGATACCACTTGGTTAAAATACAATCAAACATAACACAGAGGGGGGGGGGGGGGGGGGTGGGGTGAAGGGGGCGAGGACTTACATCACCCTGAACAAATTTGATGAGGAAATGATGTAAGGGACTGAATGCCTTGTCCATTCCCCCCTCCCTGTTCATTTTATTTAGGATGAAGTATGGCTAAAAGTCTGTTCCCTTCTATATTATTTTACTGCTGCTACAGTACAAGTCATTGATTACCAAATTCATCAGGGTAGAATAGAGGTCAATTTCTATTCTTTTTAAATGTATTTTATATAGCTTTCGATTGTTGACTAAAAATTTCTAACAACTTCCAATAAACTGACTGCCCGTCTTGTATTCTTACATTGACTATTCACACTTTCCTAAACAAACATTGGCACTTGTGCTCTCCGAAAGCTACATGCACATTCTGTAGTTGCCTTGGATACGAAATTGAATACATAAGATGGAAGTTAGAGGTGCAGGCATGGGCATCACAAAAATATTACTTGAGCTTGAGTGTCATATTTTATTTATATTGCATTTGGCTCAATATATGTGACACAATAATGATTTCATGATATTGTTGGAGAGACATTCATTTATTGTGACACAATTTTACAGGGTTTGATTGTAAATTAGAGTCCTACCTGTATTAATGTTTGTGAGTACACTTGCCCCGAGTTTGAACTCTTGTATCAATGTGTGTTTATACACAGAGAAGGTTGAGTTCTGGGAAGAGGTGAAAAATAGTTTGTGAGCATTATCATTGTTACTATGCAAGTGTGGAAGAACATCAGATAAAACATGTTCCCTGAAAAGCATGCTCTTCAAATGCCTTAATATTCTAAATATGGCACGTAATGCATTAACATCTGGATGGATTTTTATGCCACGTGCTCGTGTAGTCCCATATACATATTTCTGTGACCAAATTTCTTATCATTTTGATGATTCCAGAAACCTTGCAGTACACACCAATACTTAATTACTTATATGCTAGATGATACTTTAGACCTTTTCTGATCGATTCCACACCGTTTCTTTCGCAATGCAATCGCACGACCAGAACTCAATTTATCTTTAAAGATTGAAATTCAAGAGGAGCAGGAGGTAAAGAAATTGATGGGTCATCTATTGAGCAAGTGGTCATCATGTAATGGTCAGATATGAATCTCAATCATGGACAAAGCAGATGACCATTTTGTCATCTTCTTGTAAACAAAATATGCCAAATAGCCCAACGGCAATGGTAATTTAATTGCTCTTATTTACCACCACTGTCCAAGCGTATGAGCCTAGGGACTTGTTACCAATGATTATCCGTATTCATAAACATGCTGTGGTTTTATTTAGCAAGAGTTCCCGGATGTTATGGTACACGTTGTGATGTAATACACAGGGGGGAGGTTGCATAAGTCTGACTATGTGATAAGCTGCTTAATTGTGTTTGTTGACAATTAAAGGTACAGATTCTCTCACTATCTGTGGGTAAGACTGTTATCATTGTAATGAGGAGGCTATTTATCCTGTCAGAAATGTTCCCACCCCTTCTGCCTGTTCTGGTTTAATATCTAAAACAAATATTCAGTTCACTACTGGGAGAATAAAAAAAAGATGGATATTTTGGACTTGAATTTTAATAATAAATCATTATAATGTCTATGATTCTCTTGTAGAACATCTATTACAAGCCCCCCCCCCTCCCCTCACATGGTAATTTTGCCCACCAGTCTGACCAGTAGGCATGTTATTGTGTATTCTTGTTTTGAACAAGCAGGTTAGTTTGCGAGCTGATGTGTAATTTGTTTGAAGCATTTATAGAGTAAAGATGGATAGAGTTTTAAAAAAAATGTTTTGAAAGATGACCATGTCTGATAAAATAGGATTATTTGAGTGACGCTTAAGAACATAGGCTACAGGCATAGACTTTCTGGAAAGGAAATGAAGTAAAATGAAATAAAAATAAACGAGGTACATTGCCTTTGGAATAAAGCCTAAAACTGCCTACAGCATCAAATATGAACAGCATCTCGTATTGTTGAGCATCGTTTTGAAAGAAAACGTGATCAAGAACGAGGGTCCCACTCTAGTCTGAACCTGGTATCGTATACAAATGGTATATGTGAGCTGGGCTTCTTATCATAGGGCAAACTGGCGATAGGCCAGCTGTCATGTCAACTGACCTTGTCAAAACTAGTTTCCTTATACAATAGGCCCATTTACACAACCCAAACACCACTTTGAAAAATCATCAATATATTTTGGACTACCATTTAGGCTTCCATTTGCCAGGGAAAAAAGCACTATAAAATTTTTGGGACTAGTTTTCAAGCTTGCTTGCATAAAAATAACACTGCTTAATTTGATTTGCATTGAACTCTATGCAAATTTTGGGGTCTCTTTTATGACTTTCGGGGGCTCTTTTGGGCATTTCGGGGGCTGATTTGCCCCGAGCCCACGTGTATTTGGATTAAGTGCAGCTAGTGTGCAATGTTGTTTTCCAGTCTGTATGTTCCTTTTGCTATGTTGATTCTGTATATACAACGTTTCTATACGTGTGTTTTGTATAATTTTGTCAAGTCTGAACAGGCACTTGGTCTGTAACCTGTAGGCCTATATTTCAGACCATATTGTGGAGAAAGATGGACAAGGTTTGTACCTGTAATATAAAAGATTTGCTGGCTGAATTAAGAAAGTGTGGTCTGTTACACCATGGGTATTGAAGTACACACGGAGATGCTGCATATGAACAATCTAGAGCGTGGCAATTAGAATTGGGGCATGGCTATGCCAGTGTGAGAGGCCCATTCATGGAATTCTTCTGCCTCATCAAACTGAAATTAATTCCAATTTGACGACTCTTTTGTCCCGTATATAAAAGGCTTTATCAGCTGGAAATGGATGGTCAATCAATTGTAACCATATTCCATTCTTGATACACAGTTTCATATTTTCTATTCAAGTGTTGACAATATTAAATATACCATCTCAGAGATGTAAGAGATATCTGATGTGAAGCCTATGGTACACGTACTTCATTCATGCATCTTTGTAAAAAAAAAATTGAACGAAGAAAGCGCTGATATTGTGGACAGATTTTTATTGCGGAAGGAAGAAGTGTGAGAAAAGGTTTATATAACAACTTAAAAGCAGAAATATTAAATTCCAGACAATATAATCTAACTCCTTTTTTATTGAAAAGTTAAGTCACTTCCTGTGTGAGCTTTGATATTTTGTACACACTCTATAACACCCTCCAATTGTGGATACGCTTTATATTTCAGACTTTCAATATTGTTAAATGGCAGTGACCAATACAAGGCTGTAAAACAACAGGATCTGACCTCCAATTTTTGATTAACGAGAAACCCAGGTGGAGGTTAGCACAGCCAAAAGATGGAGAGAGAAACAAATTTGATATGATATAACGGCCCTTTCACCAGCTGTATATTACAGCTCAGAAGGCCTGTTTTCATCAGCTCGAGATTGCCAAATATCCTGCTATTTCAGCTATCCCGATCGCAAATTATCCAGTTAGTTTGCGTCTTCATCAGCCCGAAGTTGCACTTAGCGGGATATTTGGTTGAGATAATCATCCTCAGATATCTTGGGCTAGTTTGCAAAATATCCCGCTATTTGTCCAGTGCGTCCTCACCAGCCCGAAGACTCGCATTATGCGCGAACGCTGAGCAAAATATCTCCAACTTATTTCTCAAGCTCAAGTTTCAAGTTTCGAGGTCAATCTCGAGCTGATGAGGACGCAATTTGTAACTTCATGATTATTTCTCAAATCAGAAATAGCGGGCTATTTGGTAATCTCGAGCTGATGAAGACAGGCCTTCTGTCAGAGAAGGATGTGGTCATCTTGCCAGACCTTGCCAGAGGGATATATTAACTACTGTGTTTATTAGATGTGATGAACCCTATCAATAAACCTAAAACATGTTTTCTGCCCCTCCCTTCTTTCATGGTTTTATTTTCTGGTCATGGGAGGTCTAAATGTATGATTTATTTTGATCCTTAGCATAGATTTATTTTCTGTAGAAATTATGCAACTTTAATGCTGGGTCTGAGCAGTAGACTTCTTCTTTATATTTAGTGTATTTATATACTTCTCTCAAAATCATGAAGTTTAAAGTAAACTAAAGCAAAGACTAACACTAAATTTACAAATATTGTGCAAGCCTGCAAGGTCTAAATATTAGACCACCGCCCAGCTGCATGTTATCATGTTTGAATGACAGTACAGACTTGGTTCAAGTCATGAATAATGAATGTTAAAAATGTGTTAAAAATAGTCTGTTTGTAAAGACTAAGCTTTGTCAAGGGCAAGGTTATATCAGGGTCTAGTCTTATTAGGGGTATTATTCTATTGAGATGATACACTGAATTGGTTACTATTTCTATAGACTAGAGTATCTGTGCTTCTTTCATAGAATTTTGTCTTGTTGACTATTTTGGTGCAAGATTGATGATAATGAACTTGTCCCCTTTT